ACTTTTACCCAAAATCAGGCAAAGCAGGCAGGCAGATTGAGTTGCTCCCAGAATCACAGATTCACTCAGAGATCTACCTTTCTGCAATCTGCTACCTGAGTCTGCAATGAAAAATAGAAGCTTCAGTCCTAAGGAAGGTTCAACGCTGCTTTTAGATTAGCTAGAAAGCAAGAAATCCAATGATTTCCTGCTTTCTAGCTAATCTAAATCTTCCGGCACAGCTGATAGTCAGAACAGCTGATGGTTGGGGGAAAAATAAAGGAAAAATAGCAACTTACCAAAAGGCAAAGGCACAAGCAGGAAGTTGGATGATGAGCATGCCAGGTAAGGAGTGACTGGGCGGGGAGGGGCTAGCCAGTGGCACGATTTGCCGGTTCTCCGAATTCCGCAGAATCATAACAACCGGTTCTATAGAACCAGTCCAACTAGGTAGAATCCCACCCCTGCACCAAACAGCCACCTTTCTTCCACACTGTGCCATATCAAAGAATTCCACTTATTTCCATGCTGCATTCGTCCACCATTCTGCATTTTCTATGGTAACATTTTCTTGAACTTTATGCCTTTGAGAGCTACTCCCACTTGTTTCTTCTTATTAAGTTGGGTCCGATTCTGGGAAACTACCTGCAGCTTTTAAGGTGGTTTTCCAAAAGTGGTTTGCCATTGCCTCCTTTCTAGTGATGAGAGAAAGTGACTGGCCCAAGATGATCCAGCTGGCTTTGTGCCCAAAGTAGGACTAGAATTCACGGCCTCCCAGTTTCTAGCCTGATGCCTCAACAACACCAAACTGCCTCTCTATTCCCATTTAGGAATGTGAAAATTTGAGACCATGATGTGTATTGGGTGACTGGACTGAGGTCCAGCTCCATCAATATTTAGGAATCCCATTCACATCAGAGATTCTCTGAAGAGAGTTTGAACAATTCCTTATTGATCTAGTGGAAGCCTTCCTGAGTTAGAAAAGGAAACTATAGTTCTGCTTGGATTTCTTGCTGGTGTCTTATCCAAATCTAATCCAGCTTAAATTCAAAATCATAGCAAGTGGGGCAGATGCTGTGTTCTTCTGCAACAAAGGGGGAAATCTAGCTATGGCTGACAAGCCAAATTCAACGAGTCATCCTTAATGGTACTATATCTACATGGAGAGGAGCAGTGGGGTGCCACAGGATTCTGTCTCAGGCCCAGTACTCTTCAATTTCTCCATAAATGACTTAGATAAGGGAATAGAAGGGGAAGTCATCAAATTTGTAAAGTACACTAAGCTGGCAGGAATAGCCAACACCCCAGAAGACAAGCTCAGGATCCAAAAATGGATCCTGACGGACTTGAACAACGAGCCCTATCCAACAACATGAAATTTAATGTGGAGAAAAGCAAGGCTTTACCCTTAGGCAGGAGAAACCAAAGATACAAGTACAGATTAGGTGAAACCTGGCTCAAATATAGTAACTCTGAGAGGGATCTTGGAGTGCTAGCAGAAGGTCACTTAAATATGAGCCAGATGTGTGCAGTGGCAGCCCAAAAAGCTAATGCAATCCTTGGTTGCATAAACAGAGGCATAGAATCAAAACCATGTGAAGTATTGGTACAACTTCATAAAGCCTTAGTAAGGCTACACCTGGAATACTGCATCCAGTTTTGGTTACATTACAAAAAAGATATTGAGAGTTTGGAAAAAGTGCAAAGAAGAGCAACTAAAATGATTAAAGGCTTGGAGACTAAAAGATATGAATACTGCCACCCTTCTTCATATGTTTTAGTATCCATGCCTTTAATCATCTTAGTTGATCTTCTTTGTACTTTTCCCAAAGTCTCATCTTTTTTGTAATGTGGTGACCAAAACTGGATGCAGTATTGGAGCAACCAGGATAATCAGGGGACTGGAAACTAAAACATATGAAGAACAGTTACAGGAACTGGGCTTGGCTAGTCTAGTGAAGAGAAGGACCAGGGGAGACATGATAGCAATGTCCCAATATTTGAGGGGCTGCCACAGAGAGGAAGGGGTCCAGCTATTTTCTAAAGTGCCTGTAGGCCAGACAAGGAATAATGGATGGAAATGACCAAGGAGAGATTTAACCTAGAAATAAGGAGAAACTTTCTGACAGTGAGAACAATCAACCAATGGAACAGAAGTTGCCCTCAGAAGTTGTGGGAGTGCCATCACTTGAGACTTTCAAGAAGAGATTTCAAGAAGAGATGGTACACGACAAACTACTCCTAAAACTAAAATCTTATGGTATCTCTGGCCACCTACATAACTGGTTAGAAGCATTCCTTTGAAACAGACAACAAATGGTCAAAATTGGGAGCGTCCTATCAAATTCTGTACCTGTCAACAGTGGTGTCCCCCAAGGCAGTGTTCTAGGACCAACTCTTTTCATACTCTACATAAATGACCTCTGTGATCATATCAAGAGCAACTGCATTCTTTTCGCTGATGATGTGAAGC